TCATATTGTTTCATCTATCGGATTGATGGCTGTCTGAGCATCGATAAAGATGGCCACTGTCAGGTTCTGTTTAGCCCCGCTATTAGCTTGATTGCCAATTTGTCCAGCCTTATCGAGGCACTTCGCAAAATAGATGTGGCACGGCCGAAACGAATAGATATGCTGTTGACAACCGGTGATGCTGTTATGCCCTTCCTTTCACGGCCGGATCCATCCACAGAGTGGATCTTATACCAAAAGACAATTTGGTGGCCTGGAATGGTGCAACCACAGTGTCATTTCCGTTCAAAGATCTAGGCACTTGAAGAAGACGTTGGATGCACGAAGCTACTACTCGGGATGGGCTGCTGTGATTATTTTGTATGTTGCACCTATCGACAATAGGAACTTTCATTGGTTGTATAAGTAATTCTCACCAGAGGAAGTTCATGTATTGAAACATCGGTGTGTCTTTTATGTAGCGCCTGCTCCTCGTTCAAGATGGGAGCTGACAATTGGTGGAACATCGGATTTGGAAGCCCATTAGGAAGGACTTCCTTTGCATTGTGATGTTATCTCAATGAATATTCGAAATTTCCTCCTCGAGGCTCATACTAAACCACACCCTAGTGGAGATATATTTGCTCAAGCTTCACATTTTGTCCCCAAATTCTATCGTTCAGTCATTTGGACCCTCATTTCTTGATTATTGTTCAGGTCGTAGTCTTCTTTGGCAGGTTCTGTTCCCTGTACTCCTTATACAAGACTTCTTCTCTTTCCTTTACCCCGACAGTGGTCGATGCTGTGGATACGCTGGTCATTTCATGTACACGTCTAGCTAAAGAGAAATTGCTCTTCTAAGCTAGCCGCGAACTGTGAGCTGTTTCGTAGCTATCATCAGCGCAAATGCATCTATCTGTATTCAGTGCGCTTACGACGAGAACCGGTGACTGTTTTTTCGCCAGTCGGCTGCCACTCTTAAATTATATGCACGGGACATTGGACTTTAATAAAAAGGCCTCAGTTAATAAAAACTCCGCAGTCCTCCTGCGTGTCTTTGATTATTGTTCCACGATTCGTGGGTCATGCCAGCGAGCTACAAGAGTAGATGAATGGCTCGAGTATACGAAAGATATGGAATGCATTGTTGATAAAGCAATGCCAACGCTATAGCTCAATTCATGTTACACAATTCACATTGATAACTTCAAACGTGGTATATACACAATAACTTCATTTAAACCATCAAATCACACAATCATGCGGCGACCGGAGGAGCGGAGCCATCAGCAAAGACATCATTGACACCCGTCACGACTCCAAGGTTTCCATCGCGGTTGACACCTAGCCACTCGCGGAGTTGGGGGCTGAGAGTCTTCTTCGTCTCCTCCGACAACCCAACACCCCAGTTCACCTGCCCTCTCAGGAACGGCGCGTTGTAGGCACCGAACAGAAGAGCACGTTCCTTGTCCTCTGTCGTGTTGCAGCCCGAGGTATGCCACAAGCGACCGTCCATCACGATAATCGATCCAGCCTTAGCCTCGAACGGCACCAACAGCTTCCTCGCCTCCTCGTCGGATGGAACCTGTGATTTGGCAGTCCAATTATGGCTTCCGGGGATGTACATCGTTGCACCGTTCTCCTTGTAAGTGTCATGCAGACACCAGATCACGTTCAATCCCCACGTCGCGAGCCAGGGGTCGGGGCACTGCAGGGAGAGGTCGGAGTGCAGGCCCATGGACTTAGAGCCAGGCAGGGCGATATTCGCCGTGAAGTTCGAGACCAGGAAGTTCTGGCCCAGCGCCGACTGCACCATCTCGACGGCGGTCGGGTGCGAGATCAGTTCGCGGAAGACGGGGTCCAGCTCCATGAGGTAGAAAATGCGGACATTGCTGGAGTTGGGGTCCAGCCAGTCCAGGAACGTAGGGTCACCGCGACGCTCGCTCTCCTCCTTAGCTTTCCAGAGCCGGTCGACAACCTCCTTCGCCTTCTCGGTGCTAATCACGTCGGGAATGACGGCCCAGCCGTCTTGCTTGAACTTGGCTTTTGCATTTGCGAGCTGCTGCGCGGTAACGTTGTTGGAGGCCATGGTTGCGGTGAGGTGGGTTTGGTTGGGGGGAAAAGGGGGTGGATGAAGAATTGAGTTTGGTTGCTAGCAATGCATTGACGAAACTGTTCGCATTTTAACAGTACGATGAATATGGACAGACTGCCGACCAACAGACTGCAGGATTTACTAACAAATAACTTCTCGACTAGCGAGTGGGGGAGACAGGGCGAGGCGTTGACCGTTGCACTAACTCCACCTGTCGGCGACGATTAGCGCCAGAAATTGGTGGGGAAGACCCCATTGCGAAACAGAAAGAAGGGGTTGAAAAACGTTCCTGATTCAGCACAAGAGAGCTTTCGTTCCTCCATAATCGGTACGGTGTATATTGAAGGCCATATGGGATGCGTACCGGTAGGTATCCCATTCCGCATATCAAGCCCAAATGTCAAACCTGAGTTGCCTGCCTGCAATATCCCGAGCCACCCCTTGTCTCCTTTTCTCCTGGGTCTTTACTAGATCTAGCGTGCTATGTAAATGTCGCGCGCATATTTGGAATGTTGGCAAGATGTGGGCCAACTTCATCCTTGTAGTAATTAGCCCTGCAGCGTGTGAACAGCCAGCCAGCCAGCCAGCCAAAAAAAAAATAAATAATTAAAATAACTGACTAGGGCAACGGCGAGTTTCCAACACGCAAGAGTAGATACCGTTTGAATTCGATAGTCCCTCACTGAATTGGCTAATTGGGTAAGCATAGTGTCTGCGACTTAGTTATTTAGCACCCGGGGCTTGTTCCGATTGTGGAGATTGCAAGCAGCGAAACAAATGATGTGAGTTGGTACAGGACCGCCGAGTATTCACCGTCTGCTAGACGACCTGACAGTTACATGCCCACGCGAGCTGATGATTACTTCTACTGTTCTAATTCCGGCAAGCGAGACAGAAATCAAGTAACGTCATTTATCCTGTGCGCGTTGCCCGCGACCAGTACATAAATGCTTATTAGACTGACAATGCTCCATACAACGGGCATTGGCCATGAGTTAGGTGAAGATTGTAAATTGAATCACTTTATGCATATTGACTCCTGAACCTATTTCAAATGGCCAAGAGCGAAAGGCAGCGTAATGACATAGCGCATCCATTTATGTCAAAGATAAATCATGAGCATGACTCTGTCGCACTCGCCAAGCGGGCCCGAAGACGTGGAGAGAGGCATATTGAGACAATGGCCGGAGACATCCATTCAGTGATTTCGTAGTACGCATGGCATTTCCAATTTCTGCAAAAAGCCGATTGGGGGCCATCCCGGGTCCTGATTAACTGTTAGTTGCCCTTAGTATTCTGTGTTATGGTGGACCTCGGTGGATGTGCCGTCCCGTCTTATCATCTCCTACTAAGATCCACATAGACCAGGAGTGAGATCCTGCGGTGCAGATCTCGCGTCGCCACTTGTCTCAGTCCCGTCGTCGCACACAACGCCGTGAAGGGTGCCCGAATGGGATATCTTGAGCTTCGACGAGTCATGGCCCTAACACTCGCTGCGTGTGGTCCGGCACCCTCATCTTTCTGTCGTCTTTGTGAACACCGTGAATAGTAGAAGACACCCGTCTGAATAGCCAGCTAGGCATGAAATAAGATGGCGGCCGAGAATATCCCGCGTGGGTCCTGCTCCGGAGCGGCGCCATCGGGCCAAGTGGGCGCCAAGCGGGCGATTGAAGATGAAGCTGAAAAGGTGCAATACAGACCCGAAGGACTAAACCCATAGGGCAGGTAACCCCGCATGTCAAGACCACGGTAGAATGCAATCTCGCATCTTTGACGGCTACTGGTTCGTTATGGTACGTGTGCTGCCGCCAAAACCGCCCGACGACTCTCACCCAAAAGTGCACAAACGCTCGTTCTCAGTGTCCTAATATATCCGACACAGCGATGCCATCCCCACGGTGCGAACGATTTTGTGCTTCAAGCTACCGAAAGAGGGGTGACCTGTAACGGCAAAACGGTTTCTATAAATGGGTTAAGCATCCTGCGTCTCATTCAATTGAAAGCTCAACTTTCGGTTCAGCCCACTCCGCTGAACAGGAGAATGGAATCCATCATTAAAAGTTTAGGTGAGAAGTTCGGGTCCAAATCTGCAAGAAAGCACTAGACTGCGTTCCGCCGAGTGAATTCTAATGGGTCCCATTGCTGGACATGGGAATAACATGACAGCGGAAGGAAATTGACTATGTCCAGACCGGCTAAAGCCTTCATAATATCCATTAGGATCGCGTTCACTTAAGGGGCCTTGGAAACGCCATAGGTAGGGACGACAGCTCCGGTGGCCTTTGACGGTGAACACAGTGTACTCCGTACTTTGTAGTTGCAGGATTGTACTTACAAGAATAATTCCTCGTAGCGCGCAAAGTGGACTCTGTTAAACAATCCTGTGCGACCAATCGGAGCCCATCCTAGCGGCATATCCCGAGAGGAAAGTTCAAACCCCATCCTGACCCTAATGTTGACAAAACGCCAGTGTCTGTCTCCACCGATGATCTATTCCAACTCGTTTCACCCCCTCCCTGCAACACCAAACGCCGACGTAACCTAATCCCCAAGCGAGAAAGCCCAAAAGGAGCACATATAGGGAAGATGGGATTCTGCAAACTAGGATCTTGGAATTCTCGAACACTTCCACTTGCCTTTCGACGCGCCGGTTCATTCGGGTTTCTGGCCGGCCTGGAGACCTTCGTGGGATGGGGATTAATGAGAATTTGCAGCCCGTCGCCTGGGGGGTGATGATGCCGTTTGTGGTCATCACCAGCTTCACTTGTATTCTTCGAGTTTATTCTCGCATTTCTATCTCGAAGTCCTTCGGTATCGATGACTGGTTCATGGTCGCAGCCGGGGTTTGTCTTCCATATCCTATTTTGTCGCGCTGCTCTAACGCTGTCAGATATCATGGCTAGCCAATCAAGGAATTCTGGGGCAAATGATCATGTATGGAGGAGGGAAGTGAGTGTATCAATTTAGCGACAGACGTTGTACACATTCTGACAATCCTTCCGATCTTCATAGAATAGATGAACTCGTCCCCCCAGAAAACCTCACGAAGATTCTAACGGTATGCTCTCCCCAAACCTTACGCGCAATCACAGAACCGGCTAATTTGCGCTCAAGCTTCTCCTGGTCATTGAATTTGTCTATATTTTCTGCCAATGGCTCATCAAGATGTCCTTCTTAACATTTTATTTACGCGTGCTCAGCATATCGCCAGTATATAAAAAGGCAGTATACGCTGTTATGGCATTTACCACGATGCAGACAATTGCCGTCCTGCTATTCTATGGCCTTCAGTGTCTGCCCTTGGATGCTTTCTTTCACCCCGAGAATTATCCCGAAGCCAAATGCATCCCGACACCAGTCACACTTTACTTTCCAGCAAGCATGGTAAGTTGACAATACATGGGCCAAACCGCTGCTGTTCGCCATAGTAATAACTAACTCCTCGCCGCTCCCCAGAATGTCTTGACAGATATGTTGATCTACATTCTTCCAATCTGGCCGCTGTGGAGTCTCCAGATGAGCCGACGTCGTCGCATGGGTCTTATTGCTTGCTTCACCGTGGGCGGAACTACCGTCCTTGTATCACTTCTCCGTTTCATCGTGCTGGTACAGCTCGCCAGTGGCTCCCGAACGTTCTACGTCTACGGCTCCGTCGCCATCGTGACAACGATCGAGCTATCCACCGCTATTATCTCCGCCAACATGCCCTCGCTCCGGGCAGTCTGGAAGACGCATATCTCTGGCACGTTATACGCGTCCAGCGATCGCAAATCCGCTCCATACGAGTTAGGCACCACATCGCAGGCCCGCGGAAGCCGTCGGACAGGAAAAGGGGCGATGACTACGAAATTCAAGCAAAGCAACACACATGGCTCCCAAGCTGAGTCGGAGGAAGAGCTTTGTCAAACGCGAGAAGAGATTCTAGTGAGCACCCAGGTCAATGTGGTTTCTACCAGGAACAAAAATCTCGAAAGCCCGCGGTTACCACCCTCATATTATCCGACGAAGTAGGGTGTGATGATTATTGGTGGGGCCACGCTGCTTGTAAGCACGGCGTTTGAGTTAGAGGACATGGATCTAGTTATGTTCTTTTGTTATTTGTAATAATAGCACTTTTTATGTAGCAACGGCTGTTCATAGACTCGTAGCTGTGACATGGCGTGTATAATATGTTGATTTTGAGTGCTGGAATGTTTAGTCAAGTTAGGTTACTGGTTTGACGATATGTAAGGGGTAGTTAGGTAACCAAGCTAAGTAAGGCAAGTCTGCTCCGTAGCAATCCATTACACCACCTGGATGCTAACCCCTAGGGCTTTTGAAAAAGCCAAACAACGATATATCACCTATACATCTAAGATTTCTCCGCGGCATGGTACACCCGATGGATAATAATATCAGTGATAATTCTATCTAAACTTCGAATAAGTAGAGAGATAACCGGGGTCGGGACAATTATCCGTCGGTCTGTCACCCCATATACCTACTACTTGAGGGAGTAAAATGGATATCTCTACCGATGCCAATCTCGGGAGTCTCCTTGCATCAAGCCCCGCCCGAAAGCCGCAATGGGTTCAGAAGGGACTCCGGTCCAGCTCTACAGGGGTAGCCCCTGGCACAATCAATCTGGCATGTCCGTACGTTGCCTAGGTACCGAGGGCACAGGGTGGAGCATCGGAATGATCTCATGTTCGATGCGGTGGGGATAGGTCTTTTTATCGACACGACATCTCGCACTTGCATCGGAGTCTCTAGGTTACTGATGCCGAGGCCAGACTGGATTTGATCTGCCTATTTCACGAACGACATTCACTAGGGGGTGAACAGAGCCTGGCCATCCCTTCTTTTCTCTATATCCCGCAATTCTACCATAGAGGGCGTCCGTCATGGTGGAATCTTGGTTAACTATGTCGTTGCAGCTCGTGTCCTCGCTTCAAGCTCGTATGCTCGAACTACTCGGCGTTCTCAAGTCAAAGGTACACGACCAACATGTCTTACAGTCCTTTCTCACGCTCACAACAACGAATGCGTGGGGTCTCTGGGGCCTAAAAGCAGTCTGCACAGCTGGTATCTTGTACATCTGCGGCAAGATTTGTTCCAGGACGATTCTGAACAACTGTACCCCGGACAAGTGGGACTGGACCCGCGAAGTGGTTCTCATTACTAGCGGCTGCAGTGGAATCGGAGAACAGGTGGCTCGAAAACTTGCAGAACGCCGGATCACAGTCGCCGTACTCGACATAAAGCCCCCTAAGACGACCCTGCCGGCCCATGTTCATTTTTACAAGTGTGACATCACATCCATCGAGGCAATTCGTCGTACCGCGGAACAGCTCCGCGAGAATATTGGCGATCCAAGCATCTTGATCAACAACGCAGGTGTCTCCAATTCGAGAGATGTACTTGAGGAAACTGACGAGGAAATCGAGCAAACTTTTCATGTCAACATTCTTGCTCATTTTTGGATAGTGCGTGAATTTCTTCCGCACATCATCCAAAAGAACCATGGACATATAGTCACTGTTGCCAGCATGGCGAGCTTCGTGACGCTCGCATCCAATGTTTCCTACTCTTGTACAAAGGCTGCGACGTTGAGCTTTCACGAGGGACTGGCGCAGGAGCTGCGGCACAGATATGAGGCGAGGAAAGTCAGAACCTCGTAAGTTAAACGCGGCAGTCGCTAGCTCAGGACTCAAGAAAGCTCACTGTTTTATAGATCATACATCCAACATGGGTTCGTACACCACTCACCGAAAGTCTGGTCACACGTGGCCGATGGAATTCCCAGACTATTAAAGTCCAAGCGGTGGCGGAAGCGGTTGTCTCGCACATTCTCGGGGGCGAAAGTGGCCAAGTATTTCTTCCAGCAAGTTATGCTATTGCGTCTCTGGTGAAAGGATTCCCAAGCTGGCTTCAGGAAACCATAAGGGACAACCAGTCGAACGTTCTCCGCGCTGACGACTAATCTTTCTTTTCTCGCATGTATGAATGCATTATATCGGCCGAGTGATATTTTGGTAATCCAAGATGCTGGTTGAGGAGCCCTAGAATTGTTTCTTGCACTTGAAAGGGGAATTTCAAGCATGATCGTTGGGATATGTTGACGGGATTGGTAGATGATGATCGCTCACAAGCAAGGCCAGGTCCACTTGAGTCGGATGGTTCATCCTCTATTTGCTGCATGGTCCCTTTCCCAAATGGGCGGTTCTTGCGAGATGCCCTACCTCACCGAGGACAGCCGGTCATACTGCGGCTAATAATTATTAGTAGTCTGACGAGTCTGGATATTCTTAGTTAGGCAAAATATCAGGTAATCATTATAAAAAATGCTCACAAAGACTTAAGAAAACATGTTGTACTGGATCTAAAGCTCGACAATCTGCTCTTATCTTAGGAGCAAGAAATGAAAGAAAGCGCGCATTTCTCAATATCAACTATGGCTGTCGCTGGACTTGAGAATCGGTGCAATATCTGGATTGCTTCGTCTCCCGGGAATTCTATGTGCGGATGGCTCTACCCATCTCAAAGCTTTACCGCATCGAACCCTGAACCAGCCATTGTTCTAGGTCATGGCCTCGGCAAGACGAAGGGACTCAAGCTCGAAGTATACGCCGGCAGTTCAAACAAGATTGGTTACACGTGTGTTGTTTTTCGACTACCACTGTAGCAGAGGCTCCCAGGGTTTACCACGAGGACTCATTGACTCGAACCAGCAGCAAGATGACTGGAAGTCTGCCATTGACTATACGCGCCAGCTGGACAACGTCGAACCCAACGCGGTCGGCCTTTTCGGAATATCATTTAGCGGAGGCCATGCTATCCAGGTCGCCGTTAGTGATAAATGGATCAAGGCAGCCATTTCACAATGTCCCTTTACATCGGGATGGGCAAGCGCTTGGTGTACAGGGATCGCGGTCGCCCCAAAGCTTGCAGCACTCGGGCTGCTGGACACTCTGTTTGGCACGAATGAAAGACCGGTAAATGTGCCGCTGAATGGAAAGCCGGGAGATAGTAAGTAAATGCTCTGTATCTCTTGGACGAATGATGCCTAGGAAGCTAACCCGTGTACTTGCAATAGCTGCACTGATGAATGCTCCTGATGTTCTGAGGACATTCCCACAATCTATCCCCGATGGGCATCCATTTCAAGAACGCGTCCCTGCTCGTCTGGTATTAAGGCTTCCTTTTTTTGAATCTGGCTCGTATGCACCTGGGGTCAAATGTCCGATTCTTTTCAGTATATGCGAGAAAGACTCAGTGGCACCAGCAGGGCCAACCATGGGCCTCTGCAAAGACTGCCCCTAGAGCAGTAATCAAGTGCTATGATACGGGGCATTTCAAAATCTACTACGGTGGACGATATGAAACGGTAATGGCGGACCAGGAACTCCATGGACGTTTGTCAGTTCAAGGCCAGGATGGGGAATAGCCTACCGGTGGTTGGGATGTGCATGCATTTAAGTAAGCATGATTCTGTCAGATATGAAGATTAAAAGCATGCACTTAATCAGCGCTTTCAGCTAGCAAAGCAGCTGGTCCGATCCCTCATGTTTGTTCACGCCTCGGGATCTGTGCATAAGAGTATCCGCCCGGAAACTATCGTTGTCTTCAGAGAACAACAATCTCTTTCAGGTCTTGGTCCTTCGTTCCTCATTGGTTTCGAACGGCTCCGTCCGGACTATGCCGAAACATTCCGGGCGGGTGCATCGAGCTAGAAGAATATCTATCGACATCCGAAGCGACAGGGGTTACATCCCGAGGAAAGATATGTCATGCAGCACGACATTTATAGCCTCGGAGTTTGTCTCCTAGAGATAGGCATATGGGATTCGTTCGTCATACCAGGTTCAGACGGGACGTGTCCAAAGACGGGTCCAGCGCTAGATATTCAAGCAGCTTTACACACGAAGAAGCCTGCAGTGCTTATCAAACGGCTGTTGGTAACCATGGCCACTGTCAGGCTTCCAGCCCTGGTGGGCAACGATATGCTGATTTGGTTCTTGCTTGTCTGACGTGTCTTGATCCTGGGGGCACCAATAGATTTGGAAAGGAAATGGACCTGCACGACGATGATGGTATCCTTGTTGGCGTGCAGTATGTCGAGAAGGTAAACTGCTAGCCCGTCGCTACCATATGAGTCTTGCCCACAAAAGAACTATAGATCCTGTTGGAAATAGAGGACATATCGTTATGATTGTTGCAGCCAATTGTTGGCTTTGCAATAGGCCAGAGAATATTTGCACAGGTAGAGAAAAATACGAGACATGCCGTATGATCAAGTATTGACTAGCCGCCTGATGAGTTCGTTAACCCCATATTCAGCTCTCTATTCCGGCCCATATAACAATGAGATCCCAGCCTCTGATGCACTTAGTATAGGCCGTGGTAGGATTAGAATAATCATATACGACCACAGGGTGAGGAGAACAGGGCTTCCTGTCCGCTCAGCTGTACTTAAACCACATAGTCTGCACAGTTAATTGTCAAATAGTCTTTAATCTAAATATTTTTTTGAAATGATCTTTAGACTGGATGCCAATGATGGGGATGTTCTATTTATATGCGGTCGTCGGAAGTTGTCAATGTAGTCAATGATTATTAATGATTGCCAGCGGTCGTTAGTGGTTGTTAATGATTAAAATTAGAAAGGTTTAATAAGGTCAACGGACTTTTTTGAGCTGATTTAGAAGCTGTCAATAAATAGGTGGAAGACCCTTTTTGTCTTTTTGTTGTGACTTTTGAGCTTGTTGTTTTTTATTTAGCTTTCTGATACTTACTTTTTCGATCACGTGGTCTCACATAATCATGATCTCTGACAAACTCCAATTTATTGAAAAATGCTGCCGTTTAGCAGCTTTTCGCGGTTTTATTATTCAGTTTTAGCAATTACAAGAAAATCAGAAAAATGTTATTTGTTACAAAAAGCTTATCTCTGTTACAGATGATAAATATCATCGGGCATTGGCAAATTGGGAATTGTGGGTTTTTCTGTTTTAAAAAAAGATTGTTGGGCGATTTCTCATTAGATATAGATAGCGACTGTCACGGAATGAGTTGAAAGAAAAGAATTTTTTTCGCGATAAGCCAGATCCAACATTTCAGATTTTAAAGTCATTTGCCGAAGACTATATTGTCATTTGAAAGAAACTTCTTTTCCAACAAATAACGTGTCATAATCTGATTAGTTTTATTTCTTTATGGAAAAGAGAAATATCACGCACCTTGCCCAATCATGTTAAAGATGATGTTTTGAATGTAACATTTTATAATGCAAAATCAATCTGATTCGTGTCATTAACTTGATGTCTTAGTATATTCGGAACGACTTCATTCCAAAATACGGACTTCCTACTAAACCGAGGGATCGGGCCTTAGTCACAGTTAAGGATATCGAGTATTTGTTACGCCGCCTGTTTGGCAAAGATAACCATAATTATAAGCATGAGCGGGCCAGAGTTCAGACAGGGTTTTCCCTGGCCCTCTTTGCCGGCTCTGGGGCTCGAGCCGGTGCTATTGTCGAATCTAGTTCCTATCGAAATTCGAACGAGTGCTTTTTTTATAAAGTTGGTTTTAATCTAGTAATATTTAAAGGATTGTATCTCACAGCATAAACTAGCACTTGACTTTCAATATTATCCGTGGCCTCCGGGATCCTGCGGACCACCCACCGCCTTTCGGCAGTGGGTGGTCAACACCGGTCAGGCATTTTCAGCAGAAAGGCAGATTTTTTATATTAATTTATATTTAGTTACTATCTACAATAATTATCTAAAAATATAAAAAAATAAGTTTTATATTATTAAAGTCTAATAGATTCTATTATTATTAAATTTTGAATATATATTGTTCAATATTATTATAAAATTTAAATAAAACAAAAGATTTTAAAAAATTAAAATTTTTACATATAATGAAAGTTTTCTAGAAAATTTTATATATAAATTATAACTTTTTTTAAAAATTATATATAAAATAAATAATTTTAAACTGAATTATTCAAAGAAATATCTCACAAATAATATAATATATATTATTATTAATATTTGAAAATTTTCTTCTATTAAAAAAAGATTTTATTAAAATTAGTAAAAAAAATGGTTTTTAATATTTTTTAAATATTTTATTCTAAAAGTAAAAATAATTCTTTTGTCAGGGTGCGGGCTGGCGGGGGTGGTAGAGCTGATGGCAGGTAGGCAGGCAGGCAGGCAGGTCCTTAGATATCAGGTACTCGATTGCTACAGGGTCAAGCTATATACAGGCTGATAGACAAGACGTAGCTCGAAGAGCTACAACAGGATCTTGGGATAGCGGGGAGATAGGAGGTGACGTGGTCATGTGATCACACTAGTGGGTGCCTGGGGTTATGGCCCGAGGGCCAATACCGCTATCGCCCCTGGGCCAAAACTCTTAGGATTCGCACCGTGACATCTTTTAATCAATACCAAATTAAAATAAAAGAAATCCTGATTATATCAATTTTAAAAATTATTTTTATATATTATAAACAATATTAAATCTTTTTTAATAATTTATATATAATATAAAAATTGATACAAAGATTATATTTATATATTAATTTAAATTTTATTTTTTCAAAAATTTAAAAGTAATATAGAATCTTAAAAAAATGTATCTTTCAAGATAATTTGAAATGTAATTTTGA